AAACACAATGACATTTTTTTTCTATATATCAAATGTTTCTGGTCTGTAAACGGTTCAAGTATGACTGAAAGTGATTGAAATATTTTAAAGTAGAATCGTGCTTTATATCATTTACCCTTAAAACAATTGCTTCCGAATCTTATATACCCATCTCTGCATTTACAAACGCCGATTTCTTCTCTATACGATCGCGAACATGACTTGGATGGATCTTCACAATTCTTAGTTGACGTGCACAGATCTTTTGTGATGTTTTCTGAGATAAGAAAACGTTTCATATATATAAAAACGAAACAAAAGAAACTAAATTTAAATGAATAATTTTAAATTATGTCAGAAAAATTCAAAATTATTCATGGAAATACACTTCATTACATTTTTGATTGAATTCACATTCATGTATTTAACTCCAAACGAACGCTAAAATTCACTTACACAGTTTCATTATTCTTAAAACATCTTTTGATACAGTCGAGATTTGGAGTGGAATTCATAAAGACTTTTAGATTTTTCTTAAAAGTTGTACTTAAACATTAAAAAAATTTTAACTAAGAAAAATTCTTAAGTTTTAATTCATAAAGATCCTAAGCAAAATTCTTAACTAATTTTTTTTTAAGAAAAAACATCATGTTTAAGTATAAGCACTATGACAACACTAGCGATTTGCCGTACTTTTTGCAACAACAAACGCGCTCTCTAGTGAAGGAGATAATAAATTCAACAGACGTGACGTATTATTAGCAGACGGGAAAATGGAATCGCAGACAAAAAGGAAGCCAAATTGGAATGCCGATGAAACCCTTACGTTGACTAATTTAATCGATGAAAAATAAGCGTATTCTTAGAGGGAAGTTGGGTCCAACACTGACGTCGTACATGAAGGCTCGTACGTGGCAAAGTATTGCACAAACGCTGACTGCAATGGGCGTTGGTCCAGCTAGAACAGCAGCAGAGGTGGAAAAAAAATGGCACAATATTTTTTCCAAATCGAAATCGGAAATATCCGATCATAGGATAGGTACGACTGGGACAGGTTGGTCTTTACACACATTTTCACTTGATCCGCGATCGTGTTCAACTCAATCATGTAGACCTGTGTATTATAGACTTTGATGTATCCTTCAGCAATAATCTTAAAACTCAATGTTAACCCTTCTATGCATTAAATTAACATTAAATAACACTCAACCATTTACAAATGGTCAGAAAGGATTGAAATTTCTGCAGTTTGGTTTTTCCGCGTACATTCATATAGTTTACATGTAACCAAGGAGAGATAAAAGGGGAATAACCCAAAGTAAAATATTTTCATTATTTTGGGGTGCCCCGCAGGATAATATTAATAGAAGTAATATCTGATCATCTTTTTTTCATTCAAAATGTTAGACTTATTAACTCACTTCACTTTGAGTGACAATTTAAGATCAAGGTGAAAAGTGTTTTTATTTATACATGTAATGCTTAAAACATTTGGAAAGGTAAATAAAGAGTGGGGGAAAATTATGCTGAATCAAATATTTGTACTTTAAAGGTGGTGGTCCTCCTCCAAAGGCACTAAGTGCAATTGCTGAGGCTGTGTCCAGTGTTGTGGGGGGAAAATAACACTTGCCTGACTGGTATTGGAGGAGGTGCAGACACTACACTCATACAGCTAGGTCTTCTAGGAGAGGAACCATTGTAAGTATAAAGGATTTAAATTCTGATTTAATAGAATCATCAATAGATGAAGGAAAAAATGTTGTTTCCACCTTAATTCAGGCTTCACAAAAAATATTGAAAGTAGGTGGGCAATTTTAAACTTTTTTTTAATCTTTGAACTGATTTAAACAAATCTAGATTACACCAATGAAAAACAAGAGGCCCATGGGCCACATCACTCACATGAGTGACTTGGGTGATGCAGTTCTTTACCAGATTCCCCCACTTGCTATACCTATCATGCCCCTCCCTTTTATGATTTTAAAACTTTAGAATCTACACTACCCAAGGATATTATACTTTTATATAAGTTTCAGCTTTCCTGGCCCAGTGGTTCTTGAGAAGAAGATTTTTAAAGATTTGTTCTATATGTTTCTATGTAAAACTTGGATTCCCTATTGTGGCCCCGCCTTACTCCTGGGGGGTAATGATTTTAACAATTTAATATCTACACTACCCAAGGATGCTTCCATATAAGTTTCAGCTTTCCTGGCCCAGTGGTTCTTGAGAAGAAGATTTTTAAGTGACCCCACCCTATTTTTGTTTTTCTTGGTTATCTCCCCTTGTAAGAAGACTTGGCCTTCATTTTAACAATTTAAACTCCCCTTTACCCAAGGATGCTTTGTAGCAAGTTTGGTTAAAATTGGCCCATTGATTCTGAAAATGTGAAAAGTTTACAGACGGACGGACGACGCACAAAATGTGATCAGAAAAGCTCACTTGAGCCTTCGGCTCAGGTGAGCTAAAAATGAATTCAAATTAATTAAAATATTGCTTTAAATAGTTCATGAGGCACACAATTTTAGGGTAAAATTTTCATAAATCTTTTCTTAAAAAAATTGAGAGCTAAGATCTTCACTGCCAAAGAAAAGCACTGATAAGTGATTACACAAATTAGAATTAGGAGAGTGGAAACAATTTTTTTTTCTTAGCAGATCTGCATTTATGGCTAATGCTGTGCAATATATTCAAAATTGCACACTTAAGCCTTTGGGTCAGACAAGCCAATGAAAGACTTAAGAGAGCTTTGACCACAAATAATTTTTTTTTCAAATGAAAAAAAAAGCAAAGAATGAAATAAGAAAATTGTCATAAATTTTATGTTAAATAATAATTAAGCTTATAGCACAAATACATTATCATAAACAATTATGGGTGATGGACAATATTCAAGTTTGATCAAAATAGATTATACAAAGTAATTATATCCCTTTTTCTCCCCAGCTGGTGGAATCTGTTTTTTAATTGGTCTCCTGGCACAATTCAAAATTATTTAATATTATTTAATGTTCACAAACTTTATTAGGAAAAAATGTTTTGTGAAAATAAATAGAGAAATATAATTGGTATAAATTTTACAAAAATTAAAATTGATTTTTTTCAGGGGCATTCATGTTATTGAAGGACCATCCGACACAGTGTCATGTTTTGTGACTCCACCACCACCTCCTATGCCAAGTACATCCACATCCACTTCACGCCTAGTCTCGAGGACCTCCAGCACTACTGGGAGTACAGACCTAAAGAGAAAAATTGATGAACTTACTGTGAGGAAGTTGGAGCTCGAGGTGGAATATTATGCGCTCAAAATCAAGAAGGCAAATGGGGAAGAGTAAATCACATAATATAAGCTGCGATTGTCCCTTATTTGCATTGGACTTCAAATTTAAAAGCCTAAAATATATGAAAGAGAAAAATGCAGAATTAACTTGTAAAGTAATCTAATGTTATTTTTTTCATATGTATTTTCCAGAATTGTTATCTATATCATTTAAAATATTATGAAATAAATATTTATCTTGAAGTATTTGACTTGTTGGCACACTTTGTTGATGTATATATGTCACAAAAAATTATTATACATAAAATTGGATCTTTACACCCATCACTTGAAATATGAATTCAGAATTTTAAAAATGTTGCAATTTTTATTTAAAAAAATAATGAATGCACCATCCTTCTTGGTAGGTTTGAAATTACTTTTTTTGATTACATGAATTATTTAACTTTTTATAATTCTAAAAGAGATGGTTTAAAACCAAAAGATATAATATACCTCCAGTACAGATTCAAAAGTGAGTGTAAGCAAACAGTTTTCTGTATCTTGTTCCATCATGATTGCAGTTGTTGTTGTTGTTGGCATTTACAATCTGTTGATGATCATCCTCCTCCCCATCTTCATCACCTGGCGGGGGGCATGCAATATTACGGTCCTTGCAGATGTTGTGAAGGACGGAACAGGCTATTATCACCTGACATGCCTTTTCTGGTGAAAGGCGGATCTCACCATGCAGGACATGAAATCGCCTCTTCAGCTGCCCTATCCCTCTCTCCACCACACTTCTCGTCTTCTTGTGGGCTCTGTTTTAATAACCAATATTGAAAAAAGTTTGGAATAAAACAATTTCTCAGTATAATGATTAGGTAATAGTTCTTAAATTTTAAGTTTGTGTTTGATTTTCTTTTTTTTCTTCCAAAAAAACTTCAATTTTGAGATTATTGTTTATAATTAAGGAATAAGTCTAAATCATTGTAGCTCTTAACTCAACAGTAAAACTTAGTAAAATAAAGACACAAGTATTTCCAAACTTACCTATTTTCATCAATATAAAATTTTAATTGGAAATATTACAGGGCCCATTCAAAATTTAAAGGTCAATTAACTACTGATTGCTTTGTAAAATCCCATTTTTATTTTTCATATGCTAACAGGAACAATTTAAACATAATTATTTTTTTAAATCTTTATGAGGGGTGTATACATGTACATATTTCTAAGCTTCTGTCATTTATGATACTTAGAAACTACATGTACATGCATGTATACTGCAGAGAAGTAAAAATAGTGTTTTTTAAATTTTATTTTATTATTTTTTATTATTTTTTTATATCTAAATATAAATAATTTCAAAAAAGAAGAATGAAAAGAGGCAAAACTTTTTTTTAAAGATTTTTAATATTAAAAAAAAATGAGAAAAGCTTGTCATTTTAGTTAGCCATGATTTTATTATAGATGCGCAAATATTTGGATCCACCTCCTAGATTTATCTACAAGGGGGCGCTGGACAAGAGAGGGCGCTCGATATGGAAAAACCCCTACATAAACAAATACATGGGCGCAGACATTTTGGACACCCAAGGTTGTGCGGAGGAGAAAATGCTAGCTGGCGCGTGATTGGTCAATAAGAGAAAAGACTTGTTATGTATTTGACAAGTGAAATAAAGTTGAAAAAAAATCTGATATCAAGACTTGGGTTTCTTTGAGGTATATAGGAGTTACAGGTAAAAATTTGAATGGAGGGATGCACTTTGGTTAGAGATTTTCATTTGGTGTCAAACGCACCTAGTTGTAAACAAATGGAAATTGAAAGTAAAAGTGCAACGGCACGGTATATTTTTTCTGGCATTTTTTGTTTTCCAATATCTCGAACTTTCACGACAAAAAGACCATTTTCCCGAAATTCAATATATGTATCTGTGAGAGGTGCTAAAGTTTGTATGGAAGTCTATGGGAAAACATTTGGTGGTGTTTGTCCTATAGAAAAGGTGTGATTTCATGGATAAAAATTGATTACAGCCAAAAAATCAATCAGTTCCTATTTTTTCGGCATTGGGATTATATTTAAGTTAGTTTTGACTATTTGTTTAAAAATTAGAGGGTCTGGTTAAATTGGGGCTCACAATGGGGACTGCACATAGTGAAAAAATGCCAAACTTTTTGCCCTAGCTCTCATATTTTCAATAAATGTACATGTAAATAATTTTAAATAAATATTTATACCGAAATTTACTGTGAATATTGTAAATAATACAATATCAATATTTATGGGCATCATCAATACACAAAACATATGAATATCCCCCTCGCAGTTTGAGAAATTCATTTAAATCCATGTATTTTATGAGTGTAGACATTGGAACAGATTGAATAATCCTCTTTCAAATTTGTGTTAATCAGAGTTGATTGAATAATTTATAACAAAATTTGACTGCTGTTAGCTAATTAGAGTACTTTGTTTTTACATAAGGGGCATAATCCAGCAGAAAAGCTAGTTTCAGTCATGTAATCAGTGCTGGCTTGAAATAAGAGTTATACTATTGGTGAAACTTAGAGATTACTAGTAGGAAATTTAATTTAAATTACAGTACAATATATTCTTGCTGAAAATACATTGAAAATGTAATAAATATGCAAAATTATAACTGAAAAAATTATGAAAAAGGTGTCTGAATATCCCTCCTCCTTGCCATATCCAATCTTGATATTCTGCTGAAAGGAGGGGGGGGGGTAATTTTGTGCTTTAATCATGCTGAAAAATGAAGGAATTTTGTTTAAATTTGGTTTATTTGAATAACAAGAGTCATGCTTATCTGCAGTTATTTTTTTCCAATTTCTTTGATATTTTTAAAAATAATTATCTGAGTAAATTCTATTTAACATGATTTTTTTAAAGGTATTACATCACAAATGCTTAAAAGAAATTCAAAAGATGGTGTAAATAATAAAAAAATAAGATATAAGCTGCTATATGCATTTATCAGTATGTTTTAATAAAATAAAATGTATTTTAGCAATGCATTATCAAGAAGGAAGAGATTAATGAACCCTACCCTCTTACAATGAACAAAACATGGACACTCTCGGGATGATCCTTTTGCTTTCATTAAGAGTTTCAAGGTATGGTTTTCTTAAAAAATCTAGTTAATCTCTTAATATTTAAGTTATTAAGAACTTTTTATAGATTATTAGAAAATAAATTTCCTCAGAACTGCAGTTATTTAAGCACTTTGCTTACAATTGAGCACTGTATTCAGTCAGACAATATGATTTATCTGCCCTTGGCATTTAATCAATTTATTAATTATGTCATTGATAAGAAATAATATGCTAATAAATATATTTGCCTTTTATGAGAATATACATATTTAACATCAATTACATGAAATGATCATGAAAATTGGCTAAAATGTAGGTCACCCCCCTTCAAAATTACAAAATTTTCAATGGGGATGTATTTGATTCTCTGATGCCAGCAACCCACTGCTGATAGATTTTTTTAAAAATCTTATGTACATTTGAACTAGATATAATTCTCTTTCTTTCCACTGATTATTTTATCTACATTAGTTTTCACTCTTTCCATAACCCAGCTTTCTCTTACAAAAACCTGCTGATTTTCTTCATTTTTCATTATTAACGGGTTCCTGCTACCCTGATTGATTAACATGATCTACCTTTAGAAATTATTAGAGATAATAAGAAAAACAAGCAAAACATAAGCGAAATTAATCATTTTATTTTAAAAGTTTGAAAGAAAAATAGAGAAATGCTTCAATTTATAGACATTTTTTCTGTTTCACAGATGTGGGTCTGATTGACTGGGGTGTGAAATGTAACAGCCGATGGTGTACTTAAGCTAAGACTGTCAGTCCCAATATTCAAGAGGTGAGATAAACAATGAATATGTGTTCTAAATTTACTAAATTGACCACTTTTTATAAATGTTTCTTTTACTCTATAGGAAAAACCCCTACATAAACAAATACATGGGCGCAGACATTTTGGACACCCAAGGTTGTGCGGAGGAGAAAATGCTAGCTGGCGCGTGATTGGTCAATAAGAGAAAAGACTTGTTATGTATTTGACAAGTGAAATAAAGTTGAAAAAAATCTGATATCAAGACTTGGGTTTCTTTGAGGTATATAGGAGTTACAGGTAAAAATTTGAATGGAGGGATGCACTTTGGTTAGAGATTTTCATTTGGTGTCAAACGCACCTAGTTGTAAACAAATGGAAATTGAAAGTAAAAGTGCAACGGCACGGTATATTTTTTCTGGCATTTTTTGTTTTCCAATATCTCGAACTTTCACGACAAAAAGACCATTTTCCCGAAATTCAATATATGTATCTGTGAGAGGTGCTAAAGTTTGTATGGAAGTCTATGGGAAAACATTTGGTGGTGTTTGTCCATATGAACTAAAACGAAAGTAGCCTAAGTTACAGTTGTTCGTGAATTTTAATTTTTTTTAACTTCTAAATAGCTAAAACAATGACAATGCTGTGGAAATTGGATAGAAAATAATATTCATTACCTGTTGTAATTCGTCTGGGAGCCCTGATTTGGTCGCAGAAACGGAGTTAATAGCCAGCGTTTGGAAGGGTAACCACTGTCTCCGAGTAAGTGAGTATGGACAGGGAGATGATTATGCTCAAATAACACCTTGATACCACTCTCATTAAGGATGCGAGAATCGTGTGTTGACCCTGGCCATTTAAGAACAACATCAATAATTCTGTAGTTTGGATCAAAAACAACCTGAGTGTTAATGCTATGAAAGTGGTGTCTGTTTACATATTCATTTTCATACTCATGTGGGGCAATAATCTGAACGTGTGTGCCGTCGATGGCCCCTACAACGCCTGGGAATCCAGCAATTGAGAAAAAATCTTCTTGGTTTTTACGTATGGCCCCATGATCCAGTGGAAATTTAATGAATTGTGCAACAATTCCGGGGGAAGACAGACTTTTAATGGTTGCAGTAATAGCCCTAGACACAGTAGGCTGTGAAATTCCCAAATCGTCTCCATTGCATAGCTGCATTTTTCCGGTGGCAAGGAATCTGAGAGTCAGCAAAATTTTCTGCACTGGGGATATAGCATGATTTCTCCTTGAACTACGTACAATTTCATGTCCAATTAACCTTTCTATAAAAAGAATGCCAGCAGAATCCAATCTAAATCTTTCAACAAGTTCAGCATCACTGTATGCTGCTAAACAATCCTTTCGTTCCCTAAAAACCCTTCTATGTAATCTAATGGCAGCCATTTTTATTCAGTACTTAAATTTTTCTTATCACTTTAAGAATACTATGGAGGACTCTTAATTTTAAGAACCATTTAAAAATTTTCTTAGACTTTAAAAGTTTTATGAATAAAAATTAAGATAAAAACAAAGTCTTAATGTTATTTAAGTATTTTTTATTGGTTTCAGAAATTTCTCACACTTAAACTCATTTTAAGAGTCTTTATTAATCCCGCCCCTGAACCCTAGGTTATCAAAGATTTATTTCGTATTGATAATTATTTAATCTTTTTTTATTACTTTGTTACATAATTTTTTTATTTTAAATAAGAAACTGGGTATATTTTGTAACAGTTATGAAATATTACACCTCATGTCTAGTTTTCGCTAACTCGAAAAAATTAAAATAAACGGAAACACAAAAAGATATTGACGCTTCTCGTATGCAAGGAAACTATAATTTACAATCGAGAACTATAATGAAGACTTATTTATCATAGTTACACAAATCATGAACCTATATTTATCAGATTGTTAACTATAGTTAAAAGTCGTAAACCATAGTTTACAAATCGTGAAACTGTACTGATCAGATAATCTATAGCTATGTTTTGCAATCGCAAATTATTGCTTTCAGTATTAGGTATATTTTACGGTTCTGATCCATATAAATTATCGCATTATCTATGGTTTACAGAAGTAAAATATAAACAAGTATTAGCTTTCCTAAAAAGCTTGTCTGACGTGGTTTGCTTAAATTCATGAGGCGGAAAGAAATAATACAATTTTATATGTTATATAATTACGTATGTTATATAATTTCTTTCTTTCGATAATATATCTTTCAAAGACCATGCTTAGACAATGTTGTTTACAAAGAACATTAAATTTAAGCTCCTGTCTCCAGGAAGACTTAAGTCAAATTTTAAATCGCCGATATAATATTTATTAATTATGGAATGTATTTTATGTTGAATGACCTAACTGATTTTTTATTGAACAAACAGAATAAAATAGAGGTTGTAAATGAAATCAGTGAGAAGATCTTTGATTATTTAATAGACCCATATAAATAGCGATAACAATCTTAGCAGAGCGTTACACATGCTGACCATTCCCCTGCTGTTCTTGAGAGTTTTCATTGCTTCTCAAACCATCTGATGTACAATGTTATTCTCTACTGAACACCGTTACGTAATTGATTGATGAAATTCTGAGGTGAAACAAGAAGATACAAACTAATTTACTATGTAATATCGTCCAAAATATAATCGTTGGATATAGGAGTAAATAATAACACCTCAGTAAACATGCAAATTTATTTACACAATAAAGAAATAAAAGCGAACTTGAATAAGACATTTTTTTCTGTTTTCACTGCATTTTTCGCAGGCACTGTATTTACTGGTTTTCCAATAATAGACCATTTTTTAGAGAACTGAAGCGGACATGTTCGAAGATATACTAAAGACAAAATCATCCAGTAATTGTGTAAATAAACGATTAAAAGCTCATTTCCTCCTGGGATGAACTACATGCATCTTTGGAGATTATGCATGTATCGAAATTTCCAGCATCGAACTATCTAAACCATTTCATGGAACAACTGCATAAATAAGCCCTGGTTAAATCTAGTACTGTCTGACGCCGTGACGTCAGACAATTAACGTTGTTAGTTTACAGTCCTTGAACTACAGTTTCCAATCGATAAACCTAGATTATCGACCATGAAACTCTGTTTAGCTCATTTTTTTTAAATTGGCGTGACATACGTATGCAATAATTGCATTGTGGGTAATATTTAATTTCCCATGAGTTAGTCTCGTTCAACCAAACCATCGGCTGTCTCCGTAAATCTCCGACCAGCAAGAGGGTCTGGAAAAGATACGTAATATCGTTTGTAACGCCATAACGAGGCTTACCGAAATTCTGGTAAAGTTTTTGATTGGCTGAAAAGAACACACCTACAAGATTTAAATAAATACATGATAAACCAGGGGAAAAATAACTTAAAGATGTAAAAGTTATATGTCTAAAAGTTAAAGCTGTTAGATAGGAATTTTTTTACGGTGTTGCCCACCAGTTATAGGTAAGTATGTTTTATTATGTCTTGCAAATATTCTGTACGAAAGCAAAAGTGAAAGTAGTGTAGCCCTACCTGCGTAATACACATTCCTTCAATTGATATTGGAATATCTCGTTCGGTGTCACAAATTAAAGATTAGTTTATTATTATAAAGTCACAAACCAGAAGAAGAAACACATATAACATTTGTTTTCAAAAAGGATCGTCAAAATGAAAACAAGATAGCACCCTCTGACGGTTACAAACGCTTACGTGATTCTTTACCAGACTCTCTGCTGGTCGGAGTTTACAGAGACAGCCGAGCGTCTGGTTGAACGAGACTACTTATGAGTCTAAAAAGTGAAAGTAGAACTAGACCAGAACGCTGTGAAAAGGAGACTGGAAGATTTGTGGATTTCACTTTATTTATTACATTTATATCTTCCACAATATATCTGCATACATAATCCATATCTCATTTCTCTTTTCTTTGTATTAAAGTCTAATTTATCTAAGTATCATCACCCTTTTGCTATTTTCGTTATTTCCAATCAATGAGAATTGTCTTTACTTTACTAGAACATAATTGAGTCATATTATCCACAATGCAATTTTTGCACAAACATCACAAGTTTATCGAATTATCTAACATACATCACAAGATTATAGAACATACCAATCGCAACTTCTCGGGCCATTCCGACTATAGCGGAAAAACGACCTCAAATGTACTAGGAAGACGCCATTACAACTCCCCCTTTTCACGATCTTTGAAATGAATGCATGGAGACCTTTCATCTGTGGAATATGGAGTTAAACTTTATTCAATGTAATAATATTACATGAAATATACCATAGAAGTTCCTATATCTCCGTCTTTCCTATATTTGAATAAACAGGAAGATGTTTAAAATTTTAACATCCGGTTATGTTAATACATTCGAGGTTGTTTTTCCGACCTCTGACGAAAAGATCTGAGATGATGAGATTGTAGTACATACGTCACAAGATTTTAGAAGTCAACATACATCACAAGATTTTGCATAAACATCACAAGATTTTGAACATAATAAAAAGATTATAGAGCATACTTCACTAAATTTTGTATAAACATCACAAGATTAATTTTGAATTAACATCACAAGATTTTTGAATATACATCACAAGATTATCGAATAAAGCAACTCTTTACATGCCATACGGGCAGTGAATTTTTTTTTATTTTTCCCCGACTTTGTGTTTGTTTTTTTTATAGGCTCAACCGTTGTTCAACAAAGGAATATTTTCTCTCCTAATTTGCAAAGATACTATCATATACGATGGCCGATATGAGCCGTCAAAATACAAGTAAGAGTAGCTCTATAATGTACGCAGAATCAATGGCAAAACACAAGAAGTAGTAATAGTAATCTGTACATGTACAAATCTTGAGACAAAATACACTCTAGACTACTTAAAATTCCTTAGATTAATTGGGAAGATTATCTGTAAACTTAGAAGGAACAAAATCAAAAACACGTGTTGCTGATTTTCTTCTGTTTTGTTAAATAAATGTTGTGTACCTTTCTTCAATTGATCACAAAATGCAGCGAGTTTTTTTTTTTCAATTTTTGTCTTTGATCTAATCAACGACAACGACATTCACGACAACAAAATCTTAACCTTCATTCATAAGCCCCAAGATGCTGGTTAAAAATTCCAGAAACAAGAGATCTGCATCTTTTTTTATTTCTTTTGCCGCTAGACGAGAATCTGTTTCTTGGTGATCTGTGTAAGAAATGTGTTTATTTTTTCACATTGGCGGATCCAGAGAGGGGTGGTGTCCAGGGGTTGGAAGTCCCTTTTATTTTTTGTCAAGTGGAGAGAGAGAGAACGTTTTCCGAGAATACTAGTCAATATTTCTAACTTATGTATTGAATGGATAGATTCTCACACATTTAGTTTCCTCCATTCACCTTCACTGTTGTTTTTTTAATGAGAGAATATGGTAGAAAATATTCTACTTATTTTTATATATTTTATGTATGATATGTAACATTCGATGTTTATAGCCGCTTAACCCGAAATAGGCACTTATTATCTTAGACAATAAAAGTACGTCATTACATAGATAATATAGAAAAAATAAATTATAAGATTGATTTAATAGTTTATTACAACAATCCTTACATGGAAAACGCAGATCAAAAACTTTATTGACAAACAGTAGTTCCTGACGGAAGTTAATATCTGTTGTGAAGTCAATTTTGAAAAAAATAAGTTTATCGGATATATCTAATAATGAAGATAATTCAAACCCGAGTATTTTTTTTTCTCTAATTAGAAGCCTTAGTCATAATACATCTTTTCAAACTTAAGAAATTAATTGAATATAATCCATAGTAATTTTTATTTTAATATGCCTATTAAAAGAATAAAGGAAAATCAGATATTTTAAATGATTTTTTTAAAGGAGCTAAAATATTGTCCGTGTACAGGTAATATATGTACTTTGTTGTGAAAAAAATGTTCGGGTGTGTTCTTCATGAAATAAACATGTAAGCGATAAATTTAATCTTTTGAAGGTGATTTCACGCGATATCAACAATGATCAACATAGGATTATTTTTTGTGTGACCTAACAAAAATTATTTTTTTAACTTTTGAATTTTGATATCTTTTCAAAGAAAAAGACTTTGAAAAATAGTTTTTGAAATGTGTTTATTTTTATTTGGAATGGGGGTACGTTTTCAAAGAGAGAAAGGAAGTAAAACAAAAATAATGTTTACCACAACCTTAGATCTTTCCATAATTGTGTGTCAATCTTTGCTTGAGAGTTTGTAAGGGGGGTGTTTAGAGGGACACAACCCTGGAACCCCCTTTCAAAAATGGCTGGATCCTCCCCTGTTTCATACTTTACTTGCCCTCTTTCCATATTACTTTCTTCTTAATTATTTTTTTTCTCGTTGGAACGAAGAAA